GCTATACACGAATATACATTAAACATACATTGTTAAATACAATGGTTGATATTTACGGAAGATCAGCTAAAACCAAGCCTCAACAAGTATCAGGTGAAGACGTACTCAATCAAGTAACAAAGCAGATCAGTGATGAATTATCTGACATTCTCAGTATTGCCAGCTTTGATCCAAACGAACTTCTCATATTTCCAAACCGTAAAGGACAATTGAAGATGAGCAATATTTTAATCAATGACATTCGCAATCAATTATGGCGAGAAAGTCTTATTGCTGTATATGACAGCGAGGGAAAATTTGTTCCTAATATTGTTACTTCGTCGTCGATCAGTAATAAGTTGTTTAAATCTGGTTATATCATGAAAGGCGTTATTAACATGAATAACAATAAAATTATTAATGTAGGAGAACTGACGGATAATATGTAGACGATAACAATATTCTTGTCACAACTTCGTTAACTACAATCAATGATTGAATGACTGCATTTAGAACTGAATTTTTTAATCATGTACAACTGTTTATGAATTTTCTTAGACACATAAATATAACTATTAATGAATTTGTTGGACGATCTTTGACCGTTGACATAAAACTTACCGATATAAATACGAGACTTAATGGTATTATCAGTGGAATTCCTAATATCGTTCTAAAACCTAATCTCGTTGAGATTACTCATGGACGAGTTGACATTATCGTGTACACGGCATCATCAAAATCATCAACGTAGGCACCAAGCGATAATGCTATCAAACATATCTCAAATGTCACTGGCGTGTACAGATTGTCCATGTTCAGATATGCAAAATTTATAACATTTACTACAATTTAATGGCGTTATTCAACCTATGTTTTTTCTGAGACTGTATATGCAGTGTTAAAATTAAGTTATCAAGAAGAAACGTTTGTGCTGGTAGCAGATGATAAAAAGTTATCATCAACTTCTTACTGGTGGTGTATAGAATTCGTAGCTGAAACACCCCAGTTGCCGCTGTTTTAGACAACGACACAACTAAAGTATAATGATAGACGCTGGTGCAGATTGCGCTCATAGATACAGATGCAATCAAGTAACAACTTGGTAGAATAAACTAAAAGCCACCATCGATAATTATAAAGCAAAAATAAAGATGTATAGACGTGCAACCGTCGTTGATATTGTCGTTTATTTGGTTTCTACGTTAGTTGCAGAAGCTGGCGTAGCATTAGCATCATTAACGTCGTCAATGACGATGACGACACAGATCGTTGTAACAATCATTGTTTCATCGTCAAAGTAGATCGCTGGAATATTTAATATAATCGCGAAAAAGATAAATATGTACACGAATAAAAATTGAAGATAAAATTACACACAGCAACGACTGCATATTCTAAATTGTCATCGTTGATTTATTCGTCACTTAATCCTGGAATGATATCTGACGAAGAATTCGGTATCACAATAAAGTATTTAACGATAGCGACGTCAATGATGTCGTCCACAGTGATTTAAAACAATAATAGTATAATAATGTTAACGTTTGATTAGCGATCCCGGGAATTATTGCAACAGCTCGTCACTAATACTGCACGAGTAAGAACTACAATCATATCGGTGAGTTAATTTTACAACCGCGATTTCAGCATCCATGATAGGATTGGCGCAATTACGCGTTTATTATAGCTGACCCAATATCAGACCGGCATCGTTTGGTTGTTTCTTACCGAATAACTCATTGGTGTTTGCGAATTAAAAAAAAACCTGATGGAACTCTAGACTGTCAAGTAATTAGTATTATCACGGGTAGTTATCAAATAGAACAGATCAGTGAAGAATGCCATCGGAGAATTAAATCGGACGTGAATCTAAAATCGCTATTACGGTCCAAGAGCCTACGATGTCGGCGGCGATTTAAATAAATTCCACTGACTACGCCGTTAACGTATATCGATCATCGGTCAGGTCGGTGTTAGGCTGGCCTGATATTTAACCTCGTTACAAGAGCCTACCTGATCCAACCAGGGATGATTTTATAGTGGCAGTGGAAAACTAACAAAACATTCACAAATTATCCGTTAATACATTGATAAAATTGAATGGTTTTATCCATTTAAACAATTTACTGGTGTATTTTACTAATATTATATCGATAATGGTGATGGAATAAAATATCCTCTTATTAAATATCATCCATTTATTGTTGAAAGAATAGTTAGATGCTGGTTTTGATGTTGAGATAACTTTTGATATTGATATATTTAAAAAAATATTAAACGATAATTAATACAGAATATAATCATAAACTTACAAATTATATATTTAGAAAATCTACTATTATCATTGACACAATTCTACAGTGATGATGTAATAAAACAAATCATTAGCACAATAAAACATAAATAATTTCATCGCTGATGTAAACTTTCTCAAACTGTTATTGTAAATTATTACCATAAAGAAAGATTTAAAACAGAATGTCTTGATTATTATAAAATAACTCAAGAAAAACTCCGAACTTTTGTAATACCAGAACTTGACGCAACCGAGTTAGAAACTTAAACGTAACCGCGTTATTAATACTTACTTCTAAAATATCCTGGTGTCATGGAAATAGATAGCACCACCACCACCAAACATTTTCCGTCGCAATAATGATCCGTACGGTGGCGGACGGCATATTTCATCGGGTGTCGTCAATATCACGGCAACGATCTTGGTCAATCTAGTATGTGATGCTATTGATGGTAGTTATCAAGTTAACACTGATGAATCCAATCATGCTCATTACTCGTTTAACCCTCTAGTCCTACCAGGTTTTTTGATTGTATCAGAACCAATCAATGGTGTTTTTCTTCGCTGTCACAGTCGTTTCTTATCACGGATATATTTCAAACTTACTGACCAGCCTGTCAACTTGCATAACCTTAGGTCAGAGTCGCTAAATGTAAACCTGTATATGAAATCTTAATGACTTCGTCTTCAACGTCATCGTAAGATCTTACATTCGTAATTACATCACGGCGGAAAACACCAAGCAAAGTAAAATATCAAAATAATTATTTTTACCTTGTGATTTTATCCTTAACGCTGTAAAGCGAATCAAAAATTAATTATTCTGATACAACACCGTTAGTTTCGTTATTACCGACGGAGTCGCCGGATGTACAGTCACCGGAGACACAGCCTTTAGTGACACAGCCACTACAGTCACACTCTACGTCTTTATCTTTAGCTAGTGACGTTTCCGCGTCTACGTTCAACAACTCCGTCATCGACATGATATCTCTCAGTTGTTTTATACGAGCGTTGACAAGTCGCTTCGTTTTGTATTCATGAGATAATTCTAACCTAACCCGCTTCATGGCTCGTGATAACGGTACAAATAATTTTACTTGCGAATCTCTGATTGCTGCCAGAGTTCGTATCATCTGCTGAATAAATTTTATGAATCTATATACAAAAAAAAATTAACTTAATTTCATTGTTTTAAAATTTTATTATAATAAAATATATTTTAAATCAGATAAAAGTAAAAATATATTCTGAAACAGATAAAAGTAAAAATATATTCTGAATAAAAAAAAACATCATGACATTCGGTCTACCATTCCACTTGGATCCCTTCTGTTGATAATGCCTTTACCAATATGATCATTTTCTTTAAAAACCTTTCTTATGGTCCACGGACATTCTTCATGGTTAAGACCGCTCCTATGGTCCACAGGCATCATATTTAGACTTTTTTCTCCACCGAACATTCTTTCTGAATGTCCATTATGTGGATATCCTTCAGTGATGCCACCTTGATATTGTCAGGGGGAACGGATTCATATCACCCTGCTGTTTATTTTAGGAGCAAAAGCGATTTCATGTACCCCCATCCCAATCAAACCCCAGGTTAATCTGTAATTTTACACACTTCTGCCGTTTCTGCCTTGTTAAAATACTGAATTTCAAGCCTCTTTATAAAGTCAAGGCAGAACTGTCTAGAAATGAATGCGTTGGATCGATATTATTCAAGTATATTCCGCCTATTACAGAACTGCGTACATTCACTCTGTATAGTAACAAAGATACATGTAGTATGTCCTGCGAACGATATGTGTGCAATATCGGCCTATGATAGATTTTTCGGTCCCGTAACGATGTCACGGATAATATCACGGCTAAGGTTTTTAATTCTTTTTGAGGGAATTATATATCATTAATAATATATATTTTGAGCAATTAATACTTCCACAACGTTCAGATATCTGGACAGATTACAATAAAGAATCTCACCATGAAGAAATGAAGAATCGTGCAAAACGCCTTTGGCGTGAATATAATTCTAATAATGTTGAACAATTGTTAACAATTGTTTTACAGTTCCATCAGTTGCGGCTAGGGCCCGAGTGGTCGAGTGGTCTAAAGCGCTCACTGTTATGGATCACCACTGTAATCTCATCATTGCGTGGGTTCGAGTCTAAGATTCGGCTAATGTGGACATATAAGTAAGCTTGCCAGTAGCTTCTTGTGGGTCGGTGATTCTTTCCGAGGATTTTCCGGTTTCTTCCTCAACTATTAATATTGGCTGCCATATTCATCTTGTGCTGAAAAATGGTGTTAAGCCCAAAAACAACAAAACAATCATTTGCAGCTCACTTTGCTCAGAAAGAAGAATTGATGGTCGCCGAAGCGATCAAAATTCCTTGGAAATGTTCAACGTGTCGAATATGGAAATGGTGGATTATGGAATATCCGATACTAGCATCGTAAATTTGTATTCGTTGATATGGTTGCTTGTTATTCCTTGAGTCTTCTTGGATACGGAGAATGTTTTGAATATTTTAAGCTATTTGTACGTCTTACACTAGATGATCAAATTTGCGATAAATGGACCATTACCTGAATTTGATTTAACTGGATTCATTTATATAAAATCATTTATATCGGATCGTGTACGCGTGGATTGGTAAACATTTCTCAGAAAAATACTGGGTTCCAATAGTGCTATAACGATGCATACTAGACCGCTCTGGTGGCCTAGTGGTTAGAGCATCCGCCTCGGATGCGGGAGGTCGTGGTTCCAATCGAATCATACCAAAGACTTAAAAAATTGTGCTAACAGCTTCTTAGCTTGGCGCTCAGCATTAAGAGGTTAGTGTTAGGACTGGTCGGCCTTGTGTCAGGATAATGTGACTGGGTGGGACATCACGCTACATGTCTGCGGCATGATGCCCCAGTGCTATACATCACTATAAACTGTCACTGCACACATCGTAGCGATATGATTGAAAAATTGCTAAAGCTACGTTAAAATTCATAATCACATCACATCGCGATGCATGCTTGATACTGAAATCTTAACGTCTTTGATTGTAAGTGAAGCTATTCTATCATATTGTCCACAGAAACAAGTTTGGTTACCACAACAAAAGAAACATTCATCCCTGACAATTGGGATAGAATTGATTATGAAAATAAAGTTTCAAAAGATCTCGGTTAAAAAGAAAATTGTAAATTTACTCACGGTGATTTGTATGATCATAAAAGACATTTATAACATTAATCATGGATGATGCTGAGTTGGATATTATAATTGCTGATACAACGAACAAAGGAACATATAAGCAGAATTAATGCTTATTCATAAGACGGAATTAAGTTGGGTACAATAGTGAGTTATATTGATGGTGAGTCACCATAATTTACTCATTTAAGATCTTCTATGCTTGCATAAGTTTCTTTAAATTTATTATCGATGAAAAATAGATTTCCTTGTTACACTGTCAAAGTTGCTACGGATTCATTGTATATAAGCAGCGCGTAAGTGGATTTGGTGAAACCGTTATTCGGTAGCGGTGAATGGGGATAATGGAGAATAAAACAAGAAGGTATACTCGATTATTCTGAAACAGAAAGCATACTCCATTATTCTGAAACAGCAGATGTTGATATCAGAGATATATATATATTATGGTCATGACAACCAAATACCAGTATCAACATAACCATCTGTATTTGATTCGGTAGCCAGACATAAAAATATTTTTCTCAATGGACCTGGAGGTAAATATCTCAATTGATATATGTTTATCATAGACTCCACAGAAAATAATAATCAAACTGTTAGTGACACTGAAGTTGCTATTGGCACAATAAGAAAAAAATATGTAGTTATAAACATTGCAGTAAAATATAATCGTGATTTTGATATCTATGTTTGATTTATTATGACACTAAAATAACAAATAATTGTTGTGTAATTTGTAACTGTCACATGTTGTGGAAGTATTCTTGTAATAATTCAACATAATTTACCTTAGAAAGAATTAATAGTGATATTGGTCATACACGTGATAATGTCACATTGACATATCTTTAATGTAATCGTCGTCGGGATGCTAATTTACAAACGTGAACATGGTGGTAATTGTGCGTCTTCAAAAATTACTTGTAATTGTTATCGCACAAATCCACGTTTAGGACCAGTTGAATCTAGTCTGTAGATAGCGGGTCTACCCGTAGATCTAACCACGCTAGAATATTATGTGTGGTCACACTTCAGATATGATCAGTTGCTCTTTTTGTACTCCCTTCAAGTTCACCAGGTTCATATAAATACCTAACAGTCACATTACCTAACACTAGTTGTTCACGTCGTTGTCCGTAACCATAGCTACGTGGCATATGTTTTTTTTTTGTAATTGCATTAATAGGTTTCATGGAAGCTGCACGAGTAATTCCATTTTTCAACGCAGCTATCTCATTTGGTAATCTCTGAACCAGTTCGCGAGATCTTGTATCAGTATGAATTATTTCCTTCGCATACTATTATCCAAATAACTAAGCAGCGATTGTTTGTTATGCCCCCGTCTGATTTTAACTGGTTTTTTTTTTCATCAGCCATGATACTGTACCAAGAAATTCTTGTAGCAACTGTGGCCACTGTAGACCGTCTTGTGGTCCGAGTCCTCCTTGATAAATTCATTCAAAAGCAGATTCAACTTCAGATGCTTTGTTGATAGCGGCTCCACTACTTTATATCTACTTGCAACATCAATGACAGTTAGCGCATGTTTGTATATGCGTAATTTACGTCTACGTGTTTTAATGGTATCGTGCGGTAAAACAAAATATCTACTTGATGAACTTCATTGGGAACGCTGACATTAAAATACGCGTCAAGAAGTTTTTTAGGTGGACATAGATAGATTTGCCATATTGCCTGTCATGCTAACCACGCCCCAGCAACAGCACGTGAGACTTTTGCAGCTTCAGAAAGTATGCTAATCGCTGCTCTGTCCTGACTCTTTAAAATACTCGCGGGGAATAATAAATGGACTCCATTATAATAATTATATAAATAATTACTAGCTCCTAACATAATTTTACCTTTTATACCAGTTTTTGTTTTTACCAAAAAAGCAGCTAATTGTTCTCGAACTTATTTATTTTTTACATTATTTATATCATGACTTAATCGGCGAGATGTCGCTGTTATAAATCTTTATCTCGATAAGCAATACCATGAATGTAACATCCTTGATTGATTCCATTTACGGGATATTCACCGGATCGAGGTTGATTTTGATTGTCAAAACGACTATCTAAATGAGTTCCTGGTCCACAATAATTATAACCCATTAAGTATATTTCCCGGGATATTTCGCCCACATAAGTCCTTGTAATTTTTCCAACAAAGCAGTAATATCATTCCACCCCCATCCCCCGTCGTTGTGATTTAAATAAATTTGTATTTTGTACCAGACTTTTCACACTTACCTGTCAGTGCGCGGTTTTGTTTTGTTTTTATTGTTGTTAATCCAGTGGTGAACGTGGCTGCCCTGCATCGAACACAATATATTTCATATTATTTATTATTTGGATATAATTGACTTTTCGGCGAAAAGAAAACAACCGCCAGTAATGCATCATCCAGCATTACCGAAATCTATCAGAATGATAATAATGGGTTCATCTGGATCAAGCAAAACACAATTATTGCATAATCTGATAATGTGATGGCTGAAGTGGGATAAATTATATTTAGTAGCACCAACCGTAGATGATCTGCGAGACTATGAAGTACTTAAAGATTGTAATGAAAATGCAAACTCATTAAATGAAGAAAGTGACGTTATTGATTTTACTGACATTGATGAAGCGCCATCTGTAGATGATCTGGATGGAAGTATTAACAATTAAGTAGTGTCCGATGCTATCATGCTATACAAACAATCAAATATCAAATCTAGCTAGAACTTTTTTTCGTGAGGTAGACATAAAATACAGATGTGTTTTATGTTATCCAATCTTATCCACAATTTCCAAAAGTGATCAGAGATAACCGCAACATTGTAGTTGTGTTCAACGGAGTTGATAATCATACGCTGCAGTTTTTATTATATTTGGTGTTCAAGAAACATGGACATGAACACATTTAAAAATTTCTTTGCACACGCGTAAGACGCCCTGTCTGGTTTTATAACTATAAATTTGCATGATCTCTGGTAGAAATATCGTAACGGACTTGATCAAATACACATGGCAATGAAATACAAAAATGATTTCGTCGAAGTAACAACCCAAGCTATCATAATAGGGTCGCCTACCAAGACAAAGTTAGAGGTATTGGTTTAACGTTACTGACTTTCAGATGTCATTTTCGTACGAAGCCTTATTTTCCATAAATAAGGTCTCAAGCAAATGGCTTCTCTCTCTCTCTCTCTCTCTCTCTCTCTCTCTCTCTCTCTCTCTCTCTCTCTCTCTCTCTCTCTCTCTCTCTCTCTCTCTCTCTCTCTCTCTCTCTCTCTCTCTCTCTCTCTCTCTCTCTCTCTCTTTGCCGCATCGTACTTCACATTGTTGCCGTCTAAAAAAGTTACATTTACAAATGACAAATGTTAGGCAAATGCGTCCATTTCACTTTACAATTTGAATTTGGAATACTGTGAAAATATGTTTGTAAGTGTCTTCCCTATTTTCATGTCAATGCATCCAACTCTCGCCGTCATGGGTTATAGTGTTTGTGACGTCAGTCGTACAATAGTGACGTCATTCCTAAAACGGCAAATTTGGAAAGTATCTCTGACTTTGCTTGATTTATTGTCTGTGTAAAACCCGTTGTTTGCTGCATTATTGTTAAAAGGTAAGAAATTTGTTTACTCTGTTCAAAGATGGTTGCTGATAACTGTTTGCAGTCTCAGGACCACTGGAAAGTGCAAGGCAGTAGTCGGCAAATAGACTGGTCCCCAGACGTACTTTTGGCTACAGTAACGACAGAGCGTTTATGTGAGCTTTGACTTTCTTAAAACGAAAGTGCCCTGGGGCACTGGATCTAATGTAGCATAATTGGTTAGTTTCGTAAATTGACCTACTGTCAGATTTCTTAATTTTAGGCTACGACGAGGAACTTGTATCGTCATAGACAATTAAAAATCAATATCTGACTTAAAAGTGTCAAATTCGCAAATATCGAAATCGGTCTACGTCTCAACAATATACCTGCTTCGAAGACTGTTATTGAGATAATATTTGTTTTGCCAAAATATTTGCAAGTCGACGTTTCATAAATGTCATCGCTAATTATTATAGCTGTTATTTCCTTTAAATTATATCAACATATTATCATTATTGTTTACCTTGTGATCTCGTTGGCATATGCTTCATAATACATATTGAATTTATATCAAGCGTTTGACTTTTGTCTGCGATTGAGTGTAGAGTTTAGGCTAAGCTGACTATTTTCGTTCCTGGTGGTTGTGTCTACCTGATTTTATAATGTTGTTTACTGAAACCATAAAGCTAACCATGTGTACGAGTTATTGAAGTTTTCTAGAACTGTAAGTAAACTAACAGTATGTATCACAAGGATGTGGTAAACAAATTATTCATTCCTGTTTCATATAAATCTTGGGAAATCTATGATTACGTTTTTAGTTGTGTTCTGATATAAAATTGAGAGGAATCATTTATTTTAATTATACATTTTAATTGCAAAGAGTTCCTTAACATTTTGGACTAAAATGCTACTGTAGGATTATTGTGAATTCATTCAAAGATATTTTGGATTATGTCATTGTGATACGTGAACACTACTGGCACACCAT